TAAAACACTGTTTTGACTGTGAACTGTGAGGCATTTTGAATTCAGTCTATTTTGCCCAATAAATTAATTTTCACGATAAAGTTCGATCAAAAAATTAGCATGACTCATCCAGAAGATCCTCTTTTTCTTTTTGCCTTTTCAGAAGAGCGCAAACTGTTTGTTGGCATGTTGAGCAAACAGCAAAATGAGGAAGATGTTCGACGCCTCTTCGAACCGTTTGGGACTATCGAAGAATGCACAATACTGCGAGACCAAAATGGGAACAGTAAAGGTTCGTTTCTTGAAGTCCCATATTTTATCGTAGAAAAGACTATAACCTTACCGTCAGGCTACATAAACAGTTCCTATCAAATATCTTAAAATTGAACTCAAGGAAGATTATCAGTTAGTGTTGCCATATTACTTGTAACCACGAAACGCCAGACCGAACACAAAACGTTTGATTATAATCGAAATCAACACCGGTCGATATTGTAAGCGATAAAGTATTCTGCTCCAAACTAAACGCATTCAAAGCCGTATATTGATTTTTAGTGGACAAAATAATTACGCATGTATGAGAGCTCGACAGTCTTTGAAATAAATTTTGGAATAAAATAAATTACGCGGGGAAATACTGGCAACGTAAAAGCCATTCACCTCGCGCCTCCTAAAACTGTTTAACATCAGAGAAATGCGCTGTTAGCCTTACATAATATTAATTAGTAACTGAAAAGACAATTTTATACAGAAAACCAAAAATTCAGATGTGATATACACATGCGTGATGCAAGTTCAACAGATCACGGCTAGCATGCCGGTCATCGAGCAATTAACATCCAAAAGGGCAATTATCGTTAATTGTCATAAGTGTGCAGGGATGCCTGTACCCTATAAATACGGCAACTTCCTGTGCATGTATTATCCATTTCTGCTCATGTCTCTGAGGAAGAATCCGCGATGGATTTTGAAACGTCAGGCGACTAAAAGTCTTGTCCCAGCGATCGCTTCCTCTTCTCAATTACTTCCTGGGAATCGCGTGTTCGCTCGGATTGCTTTTCGATACGTACGCGAGTCGTTAATTGCCGTATTTAACTATTACTCGGCAGCTTGGCCCGCTGTCGCCCGGGCTAGTACTTTTTCCAGGCAAAATCGCAGTGCGAAATACGAAAGCGGAAGGTCATTGTGCCTGTAAATTGAATGTGAGCCTAGGAACCCTAACCTAAGCACCTAACGGCTCACACAGTTATCACCCCCGCCCCCTTGCGAGAATTTCTGCCTCGTCAAACTTGAAAGTGCGGCCGGATCCCATCGAATGAGCCGTCCCCTTAGCGTCTTATCACCTTTTTCTGCAGTCGTTTCTGCTGATGGTTTTCAGAGAGAATCAGAAACGTCCGACGGCTAAAGCACCTGTTCCGGTGATCGTGTACCCTCCGTCGCGACTTCTTCCAGTAACTCATTTCTTTGTTTATATTAGCGGATCACTATATTCCGACTTAGGTTTGAATCAGTATTTTAGGCTCCTTAACTTCCAAAAAAGGGTCGTTGTTATGGTATCATTGATCAGTCATCCGCGTTCGTTTGTAACTCTCTATACGCTGAAACTACCGACTTATACTTACAACTTTATAGGGTTTAGAAAAGTAGCTTTTCAAGACAAAATCAACATATCCATTAGCGTCCTACGAGCATGCCTGAATGGTTAATAAATCTCCTGTGACTTGACGTAGTCATCACAAGGGCGGGGCCTAAGTGGATAAAACGCTGGACTTAACCACCCACTATCTCACACGTGGGTTTGATCATCGCGAACAACGCTGTCCACCATGTTCCCTGCAGCATTGTAGGCGCAGAGTAGGAGACTTTTCTGCAAATTGATGAGAGGCTTGCGTAGTATCTGTCGCACTCCTTCTCTCATCTGCCTGACTGTGGGTGCAAGAGAGAGGGAGCTAGGCCGATCGGATGCAAAACGACCACAGTGACTGACAGTGGCTAAACAGCCAGTATACGCAATATACGACACGCTTCGCGCGCGCACATGCAGTTGACCAGGTTTCCGCAGAACAAAGAGGCGGCTCGGATCCCCTCTGAATGGGAGCCCTATAGAAGCCACAGTCAGACGGAAACATTGCAACGAGACTCGGTGGCCTGAGGGAGGGACTGTTTTCTTCTGTCAGTTGACAATCTTGACAATCTCGAAACGCTGTAGAATTGTAGCTTGAGGAATTCGCCCAAATGCTGTAAAGAACGAGTCCCTAGAGTTGATCTCGCCTGGGATTGGACGCAAGTGACTGGCGTGACACAAAGACGGGCCATCGCATCCTCCGCAATGAGTGACAGTTGTTAGGAGATGCGCGGACTCTAGGTGAGTCGTA